ACTATAGTGCTCGTGATATATGCCTCGTGATATATCTGAAAATTCCAAGTAGGTAAGTTTATTCTTTTTAAAATATCCCCTATTTGTAAGAGATATTATCACGTATGTATATAAATCTTAACTTTAAGTAGTATAATTGTGAATTAACTTACTGAGTCAAAACATGTTGAGCTCTATAATAATTATGGTCCTGTTATAAATTAGATATTTAGTTGAATAGGTAGTATAGATTTTCATTATTCGATCATTATTTCAATTATTAATAAATCTGCTATACACATTAGATGGATGTGGACATTGGCACATAAGTCAAACGCAAAATTCCGTGTTGTCCTCCATATTGCAAAAGTAACACTAATGTTATAAAACCAGTTCCTTTCGAATAAGATATTTTACAGTCTTGAACTTATGAATATTTTATTCACTGCACATCATTGGAGTGACTTTCCCTAATTAATATTTTTAATATCTGTCTATTACAGATGATTCTATTTTATGCATTTTTTGAAGTCTTTCAGATGTTTCTTATCGATTAGTGAATAATGCCCACTAACGACTGTATACAAAAGTGATTTTCTGTATTTTAAAATATGGTAACTAGTCGCTAGGATTCATTGAATAATTCTACCATAAGTTAATTCACTAGTTACTGTGAATGAAATGTATTACTTTTCGTCTTTAATATATATACGGTATCAAAATACGTTTAGTGATTCTAAAGAATCGCGTATGACATATAAATAAATTTCAGCATACAAAAAAAGAGCAATTAGTATAATGTTTCACACACGGCACTGAACTTTATTTTGACAACTTCTCGGAAAATGGCCTCCCGATTGAGCTTGGGGGCTTTTAACTCTAAAAATCTGTGTTCAATCATCCCTCGATGAGCACGGCTCAGCTACCTACAAAACCTTGGAAGCCATTTTCATAAAAATAAAGAAAGTTAACCATCTGTTCTGTTTAATTACATCCCTTTAGCTATAAAAATTTGAAAACCTTTATTCTAGAGACATTTTCACTCATTTGATGTCGAATCTATTCTCCTCAATTGGCTAACCGCCCCTTACTGAAAATTAATCGCACAAATTTGCATCTGTGATTAATATAAAACGAATTACTTTATTTTACGGCATTAAGGTATGTTTTGAACACGTACGCAAAACCATTTCCATAAAGATTTAAAATATTGCATCAAATGACAGATGCTCGAGAACGAGAGCCTAGAATAAAGAACAAAAGTAAAACAACATTCCCATCCTTGTTCCCACAATTAATCTGGTTTATTGAAATAATATTGTTGTTTAAGGAAAAAGCTGATGACCAAAGGAAAAACAAAATTATCTTCCTAGAGTTTAGCTTTGTCAAACATAAATTAAGGGTAAAAAAAAAGTTCAAACACTTCTTTATTTATTTACATATATTTTTTTTTAATATTCGTTGCTTGTGTTTTCCTGAAAACGCTTCAGGTCAGGCGTGGCCTACTGCGAACAGAAGGTCTAAGGTTTTATACTTTTAGCAGTGGACGCACCGTGACAGTAAAACGTGCTGTTCTCCTACGAGTAGCAACATCTATTAAGTGATAAATGCTGGTTGTCTTCGTTTAAGGGCCCCCAGTGGCACAGCGGCATGTATGCGAACTTACACTGCTAGAAACCGGGTTTTGATACTCGTTGTGGGCAGAGCATAGATAGCCAGCCCATTGTGTAGCTTTGTGCTTAACTACAAACAAACAAACAAATCTTCCTTTAAGATAGAAGTTCAAAATTAAGGATGAGTATGCCTGAACTTTAAAGGGTATTTGACCTGATCACTTACCCGAAGTATAGTATAAGGTTTCGTTATGTGAAAAATACCAAATATTGTAAAAACTTAAGATACATTATCTTTGCTGTTGATATAATTTCCTGTCAGAATGATATCACTTTGTAGAGCTAGCGCAGGTGGCCTTAGACTAACTTTGCTCGAAAATCGACAAACAAGATTTCCGTTTATTGTCAAACGTATCCCCCCTGGATTTTGTATCACATGCTCAGTCGCTTTGGTTTGTTTGTTTCTTTGTTTTGAATTTCGCGCAAAGCTACACTATGGCTATCTGCGCTAGCCGTCCCTAGTTTAATAGTGTAAGACTAGAGGAAAGGCAGCTAGTCATCACCACTCTTGGGCTACTCTATTACCAACGAATAGTGGGATTGACCGTCACATAATAAGGCCCCCACGGCTGAAAGGGCGAGCAAGTTTGGTGGGATGGGGTTTCAAACCCGTGACTCGCAGATTGGCCATCAGTCGCTTTGGCGTGATAAATTCTTAATCATCTTTACATGCTTAATGCATAGAGACCATGCCAATGACAGTATTATGAAATATGGGACTGAAGTCTCAAACTGTAGATGACCAAAGGACTGTAAGGACAAACAGTCGAGAGATTAATCACCTATAGTATAATGTAAAAGATAAATGCAAAAAAAAATATTAAAGAAACAGTTAAGATAGGTGTTAAATAATAATAAGAATAATGGAAAAGGAAAAAGCTGAAAATAAAAACTCGAGTATAACTGTCGTGTAAATGTTAAACAGTAACTTAAGACGTTTCATTATCAGACTTTATTTCAATGCCAACATATTGCTAGGTCTGGTCTTTTCTTTAGTTTTTGTGGTAGATTAATATTTTACCAATATATATTTATCACTGCAACGGAAAATTTCTACGTTCAGGTGATCTTCTGTAGTAATTCAAATTATCTTATCTGAGTGTTTGGTGTTTTTAACAAGATATGCTAATAGTTATAGAATCATGTTATTGATATTTCAAACCAGTTTATTTCCTACTCTGTAGAACATTAGCTTCGTTTTCTAGCTATAGCTATTAGCGTAGATGTATTATCAGATATCAGTGATTTTCGGTGTATTTTTAGTTTTTTTGTTTTGGTGTTTGAAGTAGGTAGGTATTATCAGGTTTGATTTTTTTCATTCTAACTGTACATAGAACAAAAGCCCTATAACCCGAGCACTTTCGAAGGGTGGATCTTTATTTGTGAGGGGTTAACAAGGAGCCATCAACGTGTTTTTATAACATCATGAATTTGCATGAAACAAGAATCTAATAATCGATCGTTTAGAGAAGTGCCGGTTGAAAAAAAAAAAAGGTTTGGCTTGAATTTCGCGCAAAGTTACAGACTAGAGGGAAGGCAGCTAGTCGTCACCACCCACCGCCAAGTTTTGGGCTACTCTTTTACCAACGAATAGTGGGAATGACCGACACTTTATAACGCCCCCACGGCTGAAAGGGCGAGCATGTTTGGTGTGACGGAGATTCGAACCCACGCCCTTACCACCTGGCCTGGAAAGTACGAGAACCTTTGGAAAGTCGACCTTTCTTCCTTTGTAGTGAGATAAAAAAAAAACATTCGGATTATTCTGTTCATAAACATAATAAGGAATTTATATATTACGAGATAAACATATTTCGAGAGAGGTAGTGTAATAAAGTAATAAAGAATTAATGTATTACGAAACTAAAACGTTTTAAGTGAAGTCATGTTTACCACGTTCGGAGTATCCTGATTTTAGCTGTAATACATAATTAATATATTGTGAAACTAACACGTTTTTCTCTTTTTTTTTAAAGGTTACTTATGTTTATTACGAGATTCAGTTGCCACATGTTTTTGAACAAAACTTGTCACGTGAAAGATATTATAACACATAAACACGAGGAAGTATATGTGTACATGTAAAAAATGACAGGTAGGATGAATTGACATTTAGAAAACATAGAAAGACATAAAGCAGCCGCAATGACATTCTGTCACATATATATAAATAATTGTTTTTCTTCTACACCTATTAAATTTTGTTAGATTTCAAGAACTCCTGAGGTAAAAATCATGTTTTTCTTCTGGCTGGTTGCGACAACTATTTGCTTTTGTCTTTCTGGTCATCATTTGGAGTTAACAGGTAAGAAAGTGTAATTCTTTGGAATATGAATTTGAAAAATAATATTAATTTTCTAATATATATATATATATGGAAATGTCATAATCTAAATGAAGTGTCATGATATTATTGTTGGATATCATTATTGGATATCATTAGCGAATTAGAAAAGCCGTTAGTAAGATATGCAGAAAAGTCTATGAAAGGAAATTAATCTATCGCTTCTTATAATAGCATTTATTTTATCTTCCACTGTCACATAAGGATTCTTGAGAAATCATAGACATTATTAAACTTACTCTTGTATACATAAACAAGGAAAACTGTATATATATAAAGAAATAGCAAGAACAAGGTAGGCCAGCTTGATCAGAAAGGTTTTAAAGTAAGTTAACCCTAACAGCTTAGTTTATTATCATTTAATCATGATATGAATATATATTAAAAGCAAAAAATATGGGTACATATAAAATCGTTCCGTGAACATTTAACAATTTTAAATCTAACATTTTTTTTTAATAATAATCACGTAGTTTGGAAGAAACATTACATAAAATTAAATTGTTCTAAGATATAGAATTCCGCTCATCTTCGCATTTATTTTGTATAATTAGATTTATTTTAAATCTATAATTTTGTACTTAAACTTGAAATCAAAATAACTACCAGTTTTATCTTATGTACGAGTGTTTTGTCATTAAGACCTTAATTAAACTTCTTTATTAATGAGATTATAGTAAATATTTCCATTCTTATCATTGGTGGTTTAGTGAAATTAGCCGCCTGGAATTTTTATCTAGATTAAAATTGGATTTCAATACCAAAACACATATAGTCCAATGTGTAGCTTTTGTGCTTAAACAAACAAACAAAAATTAGTAAAACTATTTCAATCTTCTTTTCCGCTACGATTTACGGAATTCTTCTGTTTTTGTTTCTAAATTTGTATATAAGTGTTGAATGTCTTTAAAAAACAACCAGTTTTGAAATAAATTTACTAACTTTCTTTAATACGCTTATATATAGATAAGTCTACCGATCAAAACGTTTCATCGAGATCCAGTATGTCTAAAAATAGAAGTTCTAAACCGGATGAACAGTGTTCTCGTCAGTCTTTCCCTTGTAATCATAGTGAACTGTGCGTGGAACAGCGATTTAACTGTGACGGTAAGCCAGACTGTCCTGATGGATCGGATGAGTGGAAATGTGGTAAGATTTTGAATGAATTACCAACTTACTATCTACTATACTAGATTGTGGCTTGGAAAAAAAACCTATCTGACAGCTAGCACGTTCAAATTCTTGGTGAATCATCTTTATTACCTAGCTTTAGAATGATTGTTGGTTCTTTTTACAAACGTTGTGAACATGGAAGTGCTTTAAGTAATTTGAAATGATTAGCATACTTTTATGTTTTATTTAGTTCTGTATTATTTAAACTTTATGTTTAAGGCATAAAATTAATAAAAAGTAACTATTAATAAGGGTCTTAGAGCGATTTCTCTCAGAAATTTAGATCTAAGTTTTACATATTTCAAACCTATTGCACACGTCACTCACGTGTTGCTACGAAATTAGCCATGAAAAATTAAAGTCGCCCATAAAAGAAGTACCAAAAGTTGTTACAAGATCACCGATTCAATTGAATTAGAAAACGACAGCAACTGGTGAGGCAGAAAAAAGAAAACCAACACGATAGAAGAATTCCTTGCTAACGTGATGTTGTTACAAAACAACGACAATAAGAAAAGGTTTCACACAGCTAAACTGTTATTACGAACAACTACAGAGGGGAAAATTGATCTAAAATCACTAAACTTCCTGCCACGGAGTTGTCATTTAATTACAATAAAAAATGGAGTGTACATGGTATTAGATGGGGACCGGAACTTGAGAGGGGGGGCAATAGATACGTGAACCTTTTTTTTTTTTTCAACCTGAAGTATTGCAAGGAAAAAATCGTTGAAAGTTGAGACGCGTGGAACTCGATGATATGTAATTAATTATATTTTTCTAAATCTATTATGTTTTTTTTCTATCGATTGTTTCATGTCTTGAGCATCTCAAATCTAAGTTCAAACTCTAATTAGACAGACTGGTAGCTTTTGAATATAGCAGTTGGACACGATTTTGATATTTTATAGTTTTATACTTCATCTGTTTGGAAACTTATAGAACCGTAAGTTTCAAAATTTTCATGTTCACAGTTTAACAAGTGTTGCTTTTTATACTGAATACTCAACAAGTTAAAAAAAACTAAAATCGCTCATATACACAAACATGGTAACTTTGAGCTAATGTGAGATTATAACTAAAACCGCTCATGTACACAAACATGGTAACTTTGAGCTAATGTGGGACTATAGCGAATGGTAAAGTTTGTTCATATAAAAAAATGGTAAAGCTATATGTATATTAGGTTACATGTTTGTCTTAATATGTTTTGGGATTAGCATCTTCAATCAAACGGAAATTCTAAAATAAAGCATCTGAAAATTATTGTATAATAGTTTATGATAAAATTTCAGTCCAATCGTCTATAAAATGTCAAGTATAGCCTTCTGGTTACCTTGTCTTCTAAGAATAGTTCTGAGATATAGATCTATGATTTTTTCAAACTGAATGTTTATGAAAACCTGCCATTAAACATTCGTAAAGACATTGCATACTTTTCATTTTAATAGCTAGATCAGATTGTAACTGGTTCAATGAAGGGACAGTTTATATATTTTAACCAAAACTGGTAGCTTATCTGAGTTTAACTGGTTCAATGAAGAGGCAAGTTAAATATTTTTAACCAAAACTGGTAGCTTAGCTAAGTTTAAATGGTTCAATGAAGGGCAATTTAAATATCTTACCTGATTTAACTGTGGGAATTCGTCTAGGTCTAACCCCTTATAAATTCGTTGCTTTGCCATCACGATAAAACCTAGTTAAACAATTTTCCTTTAGAGTTTAAATCAATCATTTTTGTAAACGGTATGTTGATGACACTTTTGTTACCTTCCGTTTAAATAAATGTTTTAACTTTTCATTGATCTTTTGTTAATTCACAAAATGTAAGCTTAAACTTAATTTATAAAATTGAAGAAAACCATTCCTTTCTGAATAGGGTACAGTTGTTTTTAAAGACTCTCAAAGGGTTTTCTACGTCTTTATAACCGAAAGAAGACTTTTGTATTTTACAGGCCGCTTATTTAATTCACAGCTTTTTGCTCTTAAGCTATAAACTTAATTTATTTACACGTCTTCTTACGCGAGCATTTCATATTTCCTCTAATTATTTCATTCTTCACTTGGAAATATTATTTTCTGCCTGGCATGTTAATGCGTAATGGATACAAAAAAAAGGGGGAGAGGCATTGCGGAACAATTGACCAAAATCAAGAATTCAACAACATACCAGAATTACTCACAGTTGCCAAATGTCCGGATTTCTTGAACGTACGTCACTTAGTACAACAAATGCGTTTTATTCTCTTTTTAAGACGCTAATAATAAGTTTTACCCTCAAGTTAAAATGAATGTATTTTGCAAAACATCTATGAAGTTAAGATACCTTTT